AGTGAGATATGCCCCCCAAGTGTTGGTGGAACTTACAATTTATAGTCACACTCCTAACAAATTTGGGCAAGATATTAGTAAGTAGTTAGCTAGTTTGTTGGATCTGGCGAGCTCTTCTCAACGTGCGAGGCAGTTGCAGTGCTCTCCATGAGATTCGGTCAAAAGATGAGGTAGGGTGTTCACCATCTCCAGGGCAGCGAGAATAAGACTTTGGATGACCTTGATTGCTCCCTTAGCTCCTTGGGCTGCTAAGCTTGACGGGGCTGACCACACTGATGAGCTTGACTAGATTGGTCACACTGGGGTAGATTCGCTGGATCTCTTAGAGTCGGACTATAAACTTAAATTGGACTTATAACATAAGTTGGACCTTTGGGCTTGGCCCATCAACAATCATTCCTTCCCTATGTTTTTTGTAAAGCAAACCTTAAAGGCTCATTTGGTAGACATATTATAAGTGGATTAAATATTATATTGTATTATTATTTATTTAATCAGGCCTAATATTTTGTTTGATAGATAAATTTGATTGTATATTAATTTAGAAAATGTATGCTAATTTATTCTTATCGTATATTTTTAGTTCTATAGACTTATATTATGAAAGTATTTTAATATCACCGGAGAGGTGATATTACAATCCATCTCAAATGTATTATTGTACACATTTATTATTATAACTCCACAACTAATAAAATTAAGCTGTCCTCAACGTAACAAACACTGATTGAGAGTATTTTTGTTAATTTAACATTAATACTATAAAATAATGTCCTAATCATCCCGTTGCAATTGGTAACAGGTAACAAATAGGGAACAACAAATTCAACTGCCAAAGAAATTGGAATTAACACTGTGTCGTGCTTAATTTTGATTTGTTGAATTGGGTAGTGCTTGGGTGTTGTAAAATGACACTCTGTCGTGGTTTGGGGTGGAGGTGTGTGGTGGCGTTGCACAGTGGTGCATGTGAATGGAGGAAAGATATGAGTGAAGGAGTAGCTGTGCACTATGAAGAAGGTGAGAGTAAAATTGGCGTTTTAAAAATAAAATAAAAAAAGATGACGTCAACTATTTTTAGTAATCAGTAATGGTTCGTCACGGCAAGCGGTGTAGTTGATGTGAACATATGAACTACAAAGGGTGGCAGTGAAATTTCAGATTATTGAGGGGATGCAATTGAGGGGGTTTCTTTGAAGATATGATTAATTACAGGGGGTGTGGATGAAGTTTATCCATATATATCAAAAATTTCTTAAGTATTTCTTTGTTTTCCCACACTATTTTTTCTGATTATATCAATTATTATGGACTTGTAACTGAATGACTATTAATCTTTGAATAAGTTTTGAAAACATCGGTTTGGACATATTGAGTTATTTTATAATTTTTAAAAACTAGGAGATTGTTTTGTTATTGTCTAAATATTAAGGTCATCATGTGATAAAATACAACGAATCATTTGATTTTAAAAAATTAAATTATAAATATATTTTTTAGATGAGATCATTGTTGTGTAACGGAATAATAACATTCTTATGTATAGAGAGAAAGTTATTGTCAAAAACATTAACAATACAACTATTATGCAATATTATTAAAATGTAAAAACTTATTAGGGTCAATGGTAAGTGTTTGTAATCAAGGGCGGAGCCGGGATTCAATCTTAAAGAGGGGGCAAAAATATGACTAAAAAATACGGATGTTGTGTAAAAGGAAATTCCCAAGCCTCTATTCAAAGACTAAACTAGATGTTATTTTAGTATAAAGATATTCCCATGTTCAAATATGAGACATACATTACGATTCTAGATTTAATTAATATTTCAAAATTAAAACAATTAATGATACCAATTTTTTTATAATGAGTGTTCATATCAGTAATATATTAGACTGAAACAGTACAGCTTTGTTACAAATCCCAAGATATATATAGGACTAATTAATGCCAAATTTTGCAGCAAATGAAGACAGGTTCCATTGTCCGTATATTAACTCTTACTTGCATGATCAGGGACATGGCCTACCGGCACTAGTTTTTGTAAAATTGCTCTCAATTCAATGTTTAGTAATTATGTTTTAATTTTAGCAAACTGTATCTGAGTATGCGAATTCTTGTAACGTATTTGGGAAGTTCCTTATACCGACTAAAATGTTGGGTCTTACGTTCTATATTTTTCTTTTTGGAAAACTGAAAAGCGGTTCGGGAGGAACAGGGGTGAAACTATTTTCTAGGCGTGACCATAGCAGCTCGAACCTATGAAGGAAGCCCTTCGGTAGGGCCTAGACGACGGGAACCGCAGACATTCTCAAAAGCGGACTTAGCCAAATCGTCACACCATAGAGCTGTCGGTGGAAGCATTGGAATCACCGTGAATCAAACACTGCTTGCCAATCTAATGGGAGTCACTGGACTACCAATCCGGTAATTCTTTCGTTTTATTCAATACATGCAAAATGTATAAGCATGAAAATGAGTTGGTTATCTATAAATATATGAGAGGGCCATCCACTCTTTTTTTTTTTTTATCGTGACACTTAATGATGGCTAAAATAAATTCTAAGTATTAGTTCAGGAATTCAGCTTAGATCGGGAGGAAAGAAATATTAACCGAAGTCAGAAGGCAAGGGCTGAATGTCTCTTGAGGCAAGACAACGGTTGGATAACCACAAGAGGTTTCTAAAGCGTTAGGAAGCTATAATCAAAGTACCTAATCTCAACTAACCAAGATCTTCTTCTAGAATTAAGGAGAACCCCACGAAATAAGGGCAAGAAACTCGGCCAGGATCCCTCTTAGCAGGGAATGACCTTATAGATACAATGTAACGCTTCATAATAAAAGAAGAACCCTAACGGCAAAAAGAAGGCATAACAACCTTATAATTACCGTGAATAAAACAAAAAGAGCAAGAGCTTCCATTTCAAAGTGGACTAACCGAACTCCTAAACTGGTGAACCACTATAATTTTGTTGTCTTAACTTCTAAAGTTCTGAATATTATTACATCATCTTACCAACCTAACGTAATCTCAACTCATCTTTTATAAAAGTGCGTTAATGCCATCAACGCTCTACTGAACCTTCATAAATTAATACACATATACACCTATATGAAGTAGGGTAGCTATATATTGAAGTACATTTACATCATTTTGAAAAAATAGTAATAATAAATATAGTTACACATATTTGACTAAATTGGTTTTTGGCTTAAAAAAAGGTTACTTACCAGAGGCATTAATGTTGTTTGAACCAAATTTACTGATGAGTTTAAGTTGGTCTTAGATTTCAATATTAAATAGAATTAGAGATAGTAAATTTGATCGTCAAATTTGGGTAACTAATATTAAATTATTTTTAACGTATGACATCATTATTCAACAATAAATCATGAAGTAGGCCGCTGAACCACACGTAGGGTAGCTCACGCGTTCAGGATGATGATGTGTTTTTGTTGTGATTGTAAACAAATATAAACATTTATGGTATATTATACTTTAATCCTTTAAATATGATTTTTTTTTTCATATTTTTTTTTTGCAAATATATATTTTTTACATTGCACTTTCAACTACATGATTAGTTTCACATTGTTTCAATTATTAACGAAATATTGTTTAATTTTATCCCTGAATAATGTAGTTTTTTTACTTTGTCTGAACGAGTTGGCAATTTATGTCCAAAAATATAGCGGACGTTTGCAATTGGGACAAAGAGAGAAAAATCATGTAATTAAAGGGGCAATGTGAAAATTTTAATTAGTTCAAGAGACAAAGTAAAATAGAGTCAGATTTAGGGTGTCAAAGTGTAATTTGCACGTGTATTTATCATAAAAGTCCTAATGGTTGTTTCGTACCCTAATTGAACTCTGTACCCTAATTGAACCCTATAAATTCCAATCTGGCCTTCAGATCCATGCACTACATTCCCTGAGAAGAAGTAAGAGAGAGAATCAAGCTTAAGTTTCAGCCATGGCGAAGATGGTTTCTGCTATCACCCTTCTGTTTCTTGCTTTCATGGCCATGTCCACACGACAGGCCCTGGCGATAAACGTTCCTTATATAGATTATATACTACCTCCCAGACCATCCAGAACATGGAACTATAATGTCATGCCGATTCCCCGGCGGCCGCTGCTGGGTTACCCAGTGGGTCATGAAGCAGACTGCCGGGCAGCCCATCACAAGGTACATTCCTGCGTGCACAAACCACATGGGACTCTCAGTGATGAGAACTGTTGCAATGTCATTGCTGAGTATAGAGAAGATTGTCTTCCCGCAGAGCTTGTGCACATGAAGGAGAAGTTTCTCCATTATTTAATCAGACACCAATGTGTTCCAGGCCATTCTACAGCAGATCCAAGTTTAGGAGCATGATTACAGTGGTTTATAGTATGTGGGGATTTTGATTACTTAGATATTATCTAGTTTTCTTCAATTTTATTACTCTTTTGTTGTTATTTTTCCCTCTTGTGACTTTTCCAATTCACTACGTTGTGATACTGGCCACAAAATTAATAAATATGAATTACATAAATTTGGCATNTTTTTTTTTTTCATATTTTTTTTTTGCAAATATATATTTTTTACATTGCACTTTCAACTACATGATTAGTTTCACATTGTTTCAATTATTAACGAAATATTGTTTAATTTTATCCCTGAATAATGTAGTTTTTTTACTTTGTCTGAACGAGTTGGCAATTTATGTCCAAAAATATAGCGGACGTTTGCAATTGGGACAAAGAGAGAAAAATCATGTAATTAAAGGGGCAATGTGAAAATTTTAATTAGTTCAAGAGACAAAGTAAAATAGAGTCAGATTTAGGGTGTCAAAGTGTAATTTGCACGTGTATTTATCATAAAAGTCCTAATGGTTGTTTCGTACCCTAATTGAACTCTGTACCCTAATTGAACCCTATAAATTCCAATCTGGCCTTCAGATCCATGCACTACATTCCCTGAGAAGAAGTAAGAGAGAGAATCAAGCTTAAGTTTCAGCCATGGCGAAGATGGTTTCTGCTATCACCCTTCTGTTTCTTGCTTTCATGGCCATGTCCACACGACAGGCCCTGGCGATAAACGTTCCTTATATAGATTATATACTACCTCCCAGACCATCCAGAACATGGAACTATAATGTCATGCCGATTCCCCGGCGGCCGCTGCTGGGTTACCCAGTGGGTCATGAAGCAGACTGCCGGGCAGCCCATCACAAGGTACATTCCTGCGTGCACAAACCACATGGGACTCTCAGTGATGAGAACTGTTGCAATGTCATTGCTGAGTATAGAGAAGATTGTCTTCCCGCAGAGCTTGTGCACATGAAGGAGAAGTTTCTCCATTATTTAATCAGACACCAATGTGTTCCAGGCCATTCTACAGCAGATCCAAGTTTAGGAGCATGATTACAGTGGTTTATAGTATGTGGGGATTTTGATTACTTAGATATTATCTAGTTTTCTTCAATTTTATTACTCTTTTGTTGTTATTTTTCCCTCTTGTGACTTTTCCAATTCACTACGTTGTGATACTGGCCACAAAATTAATAAATATGAATTACATAAATTTGGCATAAAATAAACTATGCACAACGAAAACAAAATATAACCCGACCGAATAGAACAAGAGCACAAATATAGGTTGGGCTCCACATGAACTTAACCAATAATCGATTGGCACATCATCAATAATAAGCCTTTGCTGATGTGGAATGTTTTAATTGGTTCAATAACTGAGAGTCTCATATCATTGTGGGTCTTCGTCTTCTTGTCTCCCTGTCCACTGATTATCGTCATTGTTTACTTCATCTTCTTCATAGAAATAGGGTTTCGAATACCAGAAAACAAAAGTGGGGAGAAATATGAGACTGGTGCTGTGATGGGTCCTATTTTTTTTATTTGCCAATCTCTTCGACCTTAGTGTCTTGGATGATCAAATCTTCCCAGTTCATTCAGGTACAAAAATTTACAAACTTTCCAAGAACCGCTACTTTGAATGCCACTGAAAGTGAAAAAAACTAGGGATTAATGATTGAATTGCTTTTCCACAATATGCAATGTTTCTCAGCTACCAAACAAAGAATTTATATAATAAAGTAGAACTATTATTTAATTTTAAATATAAACAAAGACTTCGATCATTTTTTGGATAAATAAAAGTTTAATCCAATGGAACATTTTGTCCCAACTTATTTCAAGCTATTAATGTCTCATCTGGTTTTAAAATTATTCATCTAACGCCCTAAATTAACTATCAAAATTTTTATCCTGTCCAAAAATTTCAATTTTGGAATAACCTACCAATCTGTGATTTCCCCCCCCCCCCCTTCATTTTTCCTTCCCATTGATGCCCTAAATCACTAAAGCCCCAAATCAAATGCCTCCCCTTTCTTTCTCTCTCTCACACACTCACTTTCTTTCTCTTCCCCACCCTTTTTCCCTTCGCCAGCAACCCCACACAACCACCACCCACATCCGCTAGATGCCACCAACAGCCACGAGGCCATTGTTGCGTCGAGTTCATGATTTATGTGAATATGTCTTTTTTATAGTCTTTTACATATTTTTATTGGATTACTTTTCTATTTTGAGATTTGTAGAATTATGAATTATGATATACGTGAATTTTATTAAAAATTTGTATTTTATCTCTTGTACGAGTGAGTGTAAAGAATGTGGGATACACTCAAATGTATATCGAATAGTGTTTTGATGAGTTTTTTACCCCAAGGGGTTTGCAGATTCCCTATCTCTCATAGTGGAGTTCCTTGGTTACTTGTGAGATTCTAAGAATTCTCAATTTTCACTCACGGTGATCGAGACTGATGGTTAGTTTACCAATTCTTGAAAAATTTTATCAATGCCGATATATCAATATATGTACTTCCTAAAGTATTGTGATCCTACAAAGAATAGATTTGATTATTTGGGTGTAAGTGTGGGCCAAATATAGTAGATGTGGGAATTCCAGTTAATAAATTTAGGCAAAGATATATTTGTTATGATTTTTTGTGTACTTGAGATAATCCGTCAAGATATGATGTTTTCTGACATAATTCGATTCTATTATGAATTTATTGTTCACATATCGTACATCTGAGATCGTTACAATATCACGTGTTTTATTTTAAAAGTTAAAATAGTGACCCACCTGTTTGGTACAATTTTCATAACCTTGTTTAGGTTTAGAAGAGTTTCTCTACTAGATTTTTTTGCTCACCCTTTTCTTAAATTTTTTTCAGATTTTGATATAGAGGAGGACATCAATATAGGTGACCATGTGGAATTGAAGTATGAAGTGGATCAAGTTGTGGATCTGCCTCTTGAAGCTTAGAATTATGCTTATCTACTTTAGTTTCTTTTAGTTTATGATGGATTACTTTAGTTGGATGGGATATTTGTTTCATTTAAAGGTTTTGGTTGTAAACTTGATAACTGAATTATGTTTCTTGGGATTTGTTTAGTTAGATATTGAACAATAGTTAGTTTTATTTATTCAATGGTTTGTTTTAGTTATGTTATTATGGTTGATGGTTAATAATTTAGTTCATGCCTATTTATGAAAATTGGGGCGTGACTGTACAATGTATGCCATAGAATAGAAATCTTGAAGTTGCAACACGTGAATATTTTGTGTTTAGACCTTCAGTTTCTTTAACAATCTATTTGGCTGTTGAGAAAAAAAATCTTAAAAGTGGGTTTTTGTTGTCAATTTGTTCGATGTTATTGCTAATGCATTCTTTTTTTTAGGGTCAACTACCTTCAATTTACTTTGCCGCTGATTGTTTAATGTCATTGCATTTCTTTCCATCTTGCCATAAGCTATTCTATGCAGTATGTTAGCATTGGGAATACAATTTTTGTTGGCGTTAATGATGCGACGATATTGTTCTTTTTGGGATCCATTTAGAAACGAATGATAGATTAAATCAAATGTAAACATGAATAAGTGTCAAGTTAGTAACATACATTTTTGAGTTTTATTAGTTATTCCCTGTTGTGAAAGATGGTAATTTTATGCTAATTATATAATTGATATGGTTTCTATTGCAAAAAAATTGAATACCTCCTTGGTTCTGCCTTCTCTTGATCATCAGTCTTTTTGGATTAATCTCAGACATCATTCTTAATAGAGATCTCTATTTTTTTTTTTCGGTAAGTAAAATGAAATATCATAAACCGAAGGGGGAAACCATGTACAAGGTGAAACAAAGAGATGGACGATCTTCTAGACAATTGGATAGAAGATCCACCATCCCAACGCAAAAGTAACCAAAGATTACCGAAAGGAGCAAAAACAAAGGAAAACAAAGCAGAGGAGTCTGCACAAAAATAGAATAGATCAGTCTGGCAATACCAACCAGCACCAAAACCAGTCCAGCAACACCCACCAGCAACAGACCAGCCATACAAACCAGCACAAAAAACCAGTACAAACAGCCAGCATCACAAAAACAGACCAGCAACACAAAATAGAACAGTTGCAGCATACCAACAGAACAACAAGCAGCTCAAGAGACACCCAAGTCAGGCTATCAACGCAAAAAGGAAAACAGCAACAACAGTCCAGCAGGAACAACACAACAAGCAGCAGTTCAGCAGCACTATCCAACATTAAGAAAGCAAACCCAACAGCTCAACGATGATAAAACCAGAAGCACAACAAAGACACCCAAGTCAGGAATCTTCACAGCCAAAATACAGAGCAAACTAGAAACAAACTATCCACTCCATCAGATCAACAAAAGGCACCCAAGGAAGGAAACTCAGGACCAAGAAACCTTCAAGGAGGATAAAAAAAATCCACAAGCAAAGCCCATTGTTTTTGCAGCCAAAGATTAGGAACAGTTTTTTTGTAACCCTCGCTCAAGTGTAGTTTAAATCTAATGCAATCCACCACATCTTTAGAGATAGTCACCACATCTTTACAGTCATTCCTGAAAATTCTAGCATTTCTTTCTCTCCAAATCACATACACCACAGTTGCAAGTATAAGCCTACTGATCAGTTTCCCAAGTCCCTTCCCCTTAACACTAATAGCAAACCAATTAACCAAATTCCTTCACTCCAAGCTAGGCCATTGGACATTGTGTTTGCTTTGCAAAAATAACCATATTCTCTTTGTAAAAGAACAAGTAAAGAAGAGGTGGACATGAGTTTCGGTTACCTCTCTACAAAAAACACATTGAGCTCTTTGAAGGATACCAAAGGAAATTAATTTATCTTGGATAGTAAGTTTCTCTTGGACTGCCAACCAAAGAATAAAGCTATACCTGGGCACAGCTCCAAAGAACCATACTATACTATGCCAATTTTGAATTTGTCCTTTATTTCTGAGTTGTTCCCAAGCAGTATTGGTGTTGAACTCAAGTATGGGGGAAGGTAACCATTGTAAGGTGTCCTCACTATCAGGATTTGGTTTCATATCAGCAGGAATCCCTCTTTTCAGCTCCAAAAGGTCCACATGATCAACCAAAGGCCAAGTCCAATCCCTTTCATCAATAATGTTGTATACCTTAGCATCCATCCCTAGTCCAGAGGCTCTCAAAACTATATCCCCCCCTGTTAGCATAAATAGGCCCTTTAGGATGCCAAGGGTCCAACCAAAGAAAAACAGTGTTCCCATTACCAATTTTATAGTTAACAAGGGGCTTAAAAACATCCCTCAAGCTCAAAATCTTCCTCCAAGCTCAGGAGGAATTTGAAGGAATCTTAACGGACCAAAAACATCTCCCCTTCAACAAGTATGTATCAACTCAGTCCCTCCATAATGAGCTACCAGAACTATAAACAACATTTCATACATGTTTAAGTATAGTAGCTCTATTCCAATCCTCAACCCCTTTAATCCCCAAGCCCCCTTCTTGCTTAGGTAAAGACATAGTATCCCATGCCACTTTTGCGCCTCCAGACTTTAAATAAACTCTAGACCATAGAAACCTCCTCAAGATCTGTTCAATAAGAACAATGACTTTCTTGGGAATGATAAACATTGAGGACCAATAAGATTGAATGGCAAAGAGAACATAATTAATCAGTTGGACCCTTCCTGCATAAGATAAGAACTTGCTGCTCCATGAACTAACCCTCTCAGTAATTCTGCCAACAAGAGAATGGCAATCAACAACCTTAAGTCTAGTGGTAATAAGAGGAACACCAAGGTACTTGACAGGCAGTTCCCCCATTCCAAATCCCAATTCTTGCACAATCATTGTTCTTATATCAGGATGCACACTAGATAGGAAGACATGACTCTTGGATAGATTAGGTTTGAGTCCAGAAAAGACCTCAAACACTTGAAGAACCTCTTTAATTGCTTTAATAGAATCAAGAGTGCCTTTGCAAAAGACCATAAGATCATCTGCAAAGCAAAGATGGGAAATGGACTCTTCTCACACCTCCAGTGAAATTTAAACCTTCCTTGTTGAGTGATAGACTTCATCATTCCATTAAAAACTTCCATAACAACCACGAAAAGGTAGGGGGAGATTGGGTCACCCTACCTAAGGCCCTTTTTCCCTGCAAAATATCCAATTAATTTGCCATTAATACTAATGGAATACTTAGGGATGATAACACAAGTCTCAATCCAAAGTAACATCCTTTAAGGAAATCCCATCTGACTAAGCGTTTCTAATACAAACTCCCACCTCACATTATCGTATGCTTTCATGAGATCAATCTTACGAGTGCACCTTGGAGCCCCTTCATCCAAATGGTAATTTCTAAGCAATTCTTATGAAAGCAGAATATTGTCAGAGATTCTCCTGCCTCTAACAAAGGCTGCCTGTGATTTATCCACCAAATCGGGAAGGACCTCCTTGATTCTATTAGCAATAATCTTGGAGATGCATTTATAAATAACATTACAACATGAAATAGGTTTGTATTCAACAAGTTTTGAGGGATTGGGAACCTTGGGAATAAGGGCAATGATTGTGGAATTAACCTCTTGGAACAGCCTTCCACTCTCAAAGAAAGAAAGAATAGCATCGGTGACACCACGTCCAACAATATGCCAAGATTTCTTGAAAAAACCTACAAAGTAACCATCAGGCCCTGGGGCTTTGCCCTCCTTCATGGAGAACATGATCTTTTTAATTTCCTCCCTAGTAACCATTTGTTCCATTACACAAGCCTGCTGCTCAGAGATTCTTCGAGTAATGAATTGCCTTACCCAATGCATAGGAATCAGAGGCCGAGGGTGTGGAGTAATCAAAAAATTTTCATAGTAACGTAGCACCTCCTTTTTAACCTCTCTCATATCAGTAACTCTGGAGTCGTCCTCCTTCTCAATTGTAGTTAATCTCCTCTAGATTCTTTGTTTGCTAATGGTTTTAAAGAAATACCTTGTATTTTGGTCCCCCGNGTTTCTAATACAAACTCCCACCTCACATTATCGTATGCTTTCATGAGATCAATCTTAAGAGTGCACCTTGGAGCCCCTTCATCCAAATGGTAATTTCTAAGCAATTCTTATGAAAGTAGAATATTGTCAGAGATTCTCCTGCCTCTAACAAAGGCTGCCTGTGATTTATCCACCAAATCGGGAAGGACCTCCTTGATTCTAATAGAAATAATCTTGGAGATGCATTTATAAATAACATTACAACATGAAATAGGTTTGTATTCAACAAGTTTTGAGGGATTGGGAACCTTGGGAATAAGGGCAATGATTGTGGAATTAACCTCTTGGAACAGCCTTCCACTCTCAAAGAAAGAAAGAATAGCATCGGTGACACCACGTCCAACAATATGCCAAGATTTCTTGAAAAAACCTACAAAGTAACCATCAGGCCCTGGGGCTTTGCCCTCCTTCATGGAGAACATGATCTTTTTAATTTCCTCCCTAGTAACCATTTGTTCCATTACACAAGCCTGCTGCCCAGAGATTCTTCGAGTAATGAATTGCCTTACCCAATGCATAGGAATCAGAGGCCGAGGGTGTGGAGTAATCAACAAATTTTCATAGTAACGTAGCACCTCCTTTTTAACCTCTCTCATATCAGTAACTCTGGAGTCGTCCTCCTTCTCAATTGTAGTTAATCCCCTCTAGATTCTTTGTTTGCTAATGGTTTTAAAGAAATACCTTGTATTTTGGTCCCCTCTGTTCAACCATTGGACCCTGAATTTTTGTTTAAGAAAACTATCTTCAGCCTCTCTCAAGTGGACATAATCTTGAAGCTTCCTCCCTTCCTCCTCCCAGATTTCTTCATTATGAGGATTTTTATCAAATTTCCTTTGAACATCATCCAAAGCTTGCTTAGCACCCATAGCTCTTGTGGAGATGTCACTATATGAATTTTTGTTGAGTTCTTTTAGCTCTTTCTTCAGTACCTTCAATTTTTGGTAGACTCGAAACATAGGAGTGCCCCTGATCTGTGTATTCCAAGCATTGCTCACAATTGGAAAGAAACCCTGATGTTTGGTCCATAAATCAAAAAACTTGAAAGGTCTTCTACCCTTGGGTTGTCCCTCCCTAAGTCTAAGTAATGCCATTGAGTGGTCAGATACCCCTGAAACCAGGAAAAAACCTTCGAAAGCAGGGAATTCAGTAGCACATGATTCATTAACCAGGATCCTGTCCAATTTGCTAGAAATCATACCACCATTATACCTTTTGTTGCACCAGGTATATTGATTACCTAAGTACTTTAAATCCTTAAGCTCCACTCTAAAAAGACAGTCACAGAACTCCTCACTACCTTTATCTCTGGCATTACATCCCCCCAGCTGTTCATCCATAGATCTCACAACGTTAAAATCACCCAGCACTACCCAAGCTTTATTCATCATATATGCATGCATTTGCACCAACCTAAGCCACAGTAGTCTTCTAAGCACTTCAGTATTTTGGGCATAGACAAAAGAGGGAAAAAAGACTCTCTTGTTGGCCAAGTAGGTAGCCTTACAATGGATAACCTGATTATTTTGGTCCAACTTCTCAACCTCATAAACAAGAGGATCCCAACATACCCAAATCCTGCCCGTCGTGGACCAATCATTGTTATTAATCAAATTCCAACCAGGGAACATAGTTCTAAAGATCCTTTCATTATTTACTCTCCTAATTTTTGTTTCCATCAAGCCACAAAGCCCAACTCCAGATTGACTAATGTGTCTTCTCACTTCAGCTTGTTTAAGAGGGTCATTTAGCCCTATTACATTCCAACATGAGATATGTATCATTTAGGGTTTGAAATTGGAGGAGTACCCATCCCCTCATGAGATACCACCAGGCTACTACTGGCCTGATTCTTGAGCTTTCCCCTTGCTTTCCTGTTCTTCTTCCTTGTAGAGNTTGGAGGAGTACCTATCCCCTCATGAGATACCACCAGGCTACTACTGGCCTGATTCTTGAGCTTTCCCCTTGTTTTCCTGTTCTTCTTCCTTGTAGAAGTAGTCTTCAGTTGTTCAATTGCATCAACCATCTTGATTTTGTCAAGCATGGTACTTGGTTTATGTGGTTCAAAATCACTAGCAACAACTACTTCCTCCCCTTGAGCCATAGACACTAGTGCTTGAAATTTGTTTGGGGAAGGAACAACTCCACACAAAGCACTAGGACTAGTTTGGAGATTAATGGTAATCTGGCCACCCTTCTCTTCATTATTTCTCCTTCCCTTTATCTTTGGCTTTATTCAAAGACTTCATATTTCCTCCATCCTTTGCAACCTCATGAACAACCACTGATTGGTTAAAGGTTCCACCATTAGGGATTACATCTTTTGCAAATGACGTACCTTCCTTTACCAAAATCCTAGGCTCTATTAGAATCTTAGGACAACTATGTTCAAAAACCTTGCATTGGTCACATCTTTGGGGTTTCCATTTGTATTCCACTCTAATTTCCACTGTTTCAATATCTCCATCCTTTTCTCCTTGCATTAGTAAGTCAAAAGTCTCAGGGAAAGACTCCTCCGCATCACTTTCAATGTAAATTCTCACAAAAGAAGTTCTACTACCTTTTTCAGTGAGTTTATCCATGCAAAGCGGTTTTCCCACTGCACTTGCTATTTAACTAAAACCCTTGGGAGTCCAGTATTCATGAGGAATATTAAAGAACTTCACCCAGGCAGGCATCTTCCTCAGAGCTTCCTAGTGCAATTTAAGCCTAGGTTGCCATTTCCTTAGAATAATGGGTTGGCCCCCTATATGCTATGGTCCACCCTCCAATACCTCATTCTGGTTACCAGTGCTTGAAAATCTAAAGAAAAAGAAACCCTCCTGATTGGCAGTGACTTCAAACAAACCCTTCGTACTCCACATTCTCAAAGCAGATGCCTTAACCAAATTATAAGGCAATTTCTTGCCAATAAAATAACCCACAATGCTTGCCTCCCATTTAGAGCAACCCTCTTGAGCAACCTACTTGGGAGGTTGGACTGTAATCCTACTATTGTTCTTGCTAAGGGCCATAAATTCCATCTCAATAACTGATCTGGGGTTATGCCTCACTTTTCTAACCCAAGATGTGCCAGATTGCTTTTCACCCAGAGCATTAGCAAAAGTCTCTTGATTAAGAGAAGGGTTGGAGGGAGTACCTGTTGATGGGCTTAGTGTTGCTCCAAAACTCTGTTTTCCTAGCAGCCTTGCATTAGTTCTGTTCCCATGGCCATTTTCAACATCACCCCTGCCACCCCAAGTGGATGTGTTACTGTTAGTCCTTCCACCCCCTTGTGATAGACCTCTTCCATTTCCTCGACCAATAGCCAAACCCCTATGGTTCAAAACCCATTGATCAAAATTCCTATTGGTCTCAACGATTGTCCTTAGCTNTAGTCCTTCCACCCCCTTGTGATAGACCTCTTCCATTTCCTCGAACAATAGCCAAACCCCTATGGTTCAAAACCCCTTGATCAAAATTCCTATTGGTCTCAACCATCGTCCTTAGCATCTCATTTTTGAGCATTAGCTCCGCAAGGTTACCTGGCTCTACCTCATTACTCCGGGTACCCTCTGAATTATCAAGGGCCATACCAAGGAAATCGCATTTTGCGGTGGGTATTTCCATAGAAATATCAGTAGATCGCTCATCGACATAAACATCACTTGGAATAGAGCATCCTGCCACCACAGTAGCGGCTCCATTTGNCATAGAAATATCAGCAGACCGCTCATCGACATAAACATCACTTGGAATAGAGCATCCTGCCACCACAGTAGCAGCTCCATTTAGGTTAACTTCCATGAAAGTAGTATTCCCATCAGATTCATTTTCAGAAGCTTTGTGCAGCACTTTAATGACCTGTCCATTTGATGGACCCAACACCGAGCAAGCATTTAAGCCAAGAGGAGTAAGCTCATTTTCAATTTCAAAAGGGGTTTCCTTGGGGATTGCCGTGGAAACAAACGGGAAAGGACAAAAGGGAAAAGACAAAAATGCACAAAGGGTAGAAGGGGATTCTGGTAAGATTAAAATAGGAGTTAATGAAAGGATTTGGGCCTGGTGAGGAGTGCCCAGAAGAAAAGGGGAAAGAGGCGGTGGGTGAGGTAGGGTTTCATCGTTTACAGAAAGGGGGAAAGAGGTGGTGAGGGACCAACAAGTTCTTTGGTAGTTTTGGATCTCTATTTTATTTGCTCATGTGTCTTAAGTATGATTATGTATATTCAGCGGTGGTGAAGATGTGGATAGTGGAAAATTTGGAGTTGGGTTTGTGAGTAACCAACAAAAATGATATTTTATTATATTTAATAATTGATTAATTGTATATTATTTATGATTTTTTTTTTAAGTTGGAAGCAAATTATTTCATTAACAGCCTGAAACATCTGATAAATGATGGCAATAAGTTAACAAATTTTTTTATCCTTGTCTACAGTCAAAGATTGCACCAAAGTAAATCTAATTAATAGACATAATACAACCAACCTCAATACCTATCAAAATTTGGAATATCAAAGTTCAATAAAAGGGTCAAGACCAATCTTCACTCCTAAACAATGGCATTGGCTGCACTAGCAATCCTTGGCCACAGGTCAGCGCACTCCTTCCCAATTGGACCAGTAATAGCAGACCCTTTCATTTCTCCCTTTGGATTCACAATGACACCAGCATTATCTTCAAAGTTTACGAAGACACCATCCTTTCGGCGCTAGGGCTTGTGCTCCCGGACAATAACAGCAGGCATGACCTTCTTACGGAGATCAGGCTTGCCTTTCTTCACTGTGGCCATCACCATATCACCAACAAAAGCCGAAGGTAACCGGTTCAATCGGCCCTTGATTCCCTTCACTGATATGATGTAGAGGTTCTTCGCTCGGGTTATCGGCACAGTTAACCGTCGCCGCCACCGACAGACCCAGCGACATGCGAAACTTGTTGCCCGCCGATCCTCCACATCCTTGCTTCGATATTTTCGTCTGCCGAGTGGAGCTGATTCAGTGTGTTAGATTCCTTAATTTCTAGTTTGATATTTTTCTAATTTTTTGATTTATTTTGCAAGTAATTTGATTGATTTAAAGTAATAATAAATAAGACAAGTAAAACAAACAATCGATGAAGAATCACAATTAATAAGGATTGAAGAGTAAAGATTAAGATATAAAGATTTGAAGATAAATGCAACAATTTAATACTAATGAGAGTCTAAATTAGTAATAAACTCATTTAGAGTTGAATTAAAAAAGTATTCTAGAAGATAAGGTTTTGACACATATTCAGTATTTCGGTCCTAAGTTTTTACTCCCGATATCCGATTTACTTGATTTTTATGGGTTTGGAATGAAGACTTCAAGGTTTATTTCAAAATTTTGTGAAAAGATCTCTAACTATGCAAAAATTGAACTCAAAGTCTAGGCAAATATGGTACCCGCGCCCCCAAAATTTGGTGCCCGAGATTTTACCTTAAAAGACTTATTTTTAGAAAGGAATTTCTCTCAAGTCAACTCTAGATCTCCTACCTATACTTAGGTTTTAGTACAAATAAAGGCTCTCAACTCAAGTCTCACCGGTTAAGAGAACATTCTTTTTCTAACCTTTTCCTTTCTAGATTTTAGTGTATTTTTATGATACCTTACTAAATTCTTAACTATAGGTTAGGGAGATACTTTTAATGAAGTATTGTATTATTTTTTATTCAATACTTTTTTTTAAAGCATAATCTATTTTTTAATTTAATTATTGTCTTTTTGTAAAGTTTTTACTCTGTATAATTTATTGATTCGTTGCACCACGTACATCGAATACTTTAGATTCCCTACAAGTCAAATAACTAGTTATTCCATTCTTGAATTAATTAACTAGAATTTTTCATAAAAATAGTTAATTGCTTGTTTGTTATAAAATTAGGGTTTACTTGTTGAAAAGCTTGATTTGTCTTAGACTCCGGGCACGGTGAATTTTTGTGATTTACAAGTAAATTCTTAGTTTTATTCAATTAAGTTATTTAATANAGTCAAAGATTGCACCAAAGTAAATCTAATTAATAGACATAATACAACCAACCTCAATACCTATCAAAATTTGGAATATCAAAGTTCAATAAAAGGGTCAAGACCAATCTTCACTCCTAAACAATGGCATTGGCTGCACTAGCAATCCTTGGCCACAGATCAGCGCACTCCTTCCCAATTGGACCAGTAATAGCAGACCCTTTCATTTCTCCCTTTGGATTCACAATGACACCAGCATTATCTTCAAAGTTCACGAAGACACCATCCTTTCGGCGCTAGGGCTTGTGCTGTCGGACAATAACAGCAGGCATGACCTTCTTACGGAGATCAGGCTTGCCTTTCTTCACTGTGGCCATCACCATATCACCAACACAAGCCGAAGGTAACCGGTTCAATCGGCCCTTGATTCCCTTCATTGATATGATGTAGAGGTTCTTCGCTCGGGTTATCGGCACAGTTAACCGTCGTCGCCACCGACAGACCCAGCGACATGCGAAACTTGTTGCCCGCCGATCCTCCACATCCTCGCTTCGATATTTTCGTCTGCCGAATGGAGCTGATTCAGTGTGTTAGATTCCTTAATTTCTAGTTTGATATTTTTTCTAATTGTTTGATTTATTTTGCAAGANCAGAAGCTTTGTGCAGCACTTTAATGACCTGTCCATTTGATGGACCCAACACCGAGCAAGCATTTAAGCCAAGAGGAGTAAGCTCATTTTCAATTTCAAAAGGGGTTTCCTTGGGGATTGCCGTGGAAACAAACGGGAAAGGACAAAAGGGAAAAGACAAAAATGCACAAAGGGTAGAAGGGGATTCAAGTAAGATTAAAATAGGAGTTAATGAAAGGATTTGGGCCTGGTGAGGAGTGCCCAGAAGAAAAGGGGAAAGAGGCGGTGGGTGAGGTAGGGTTTCATCGTTTACAGAAAGGGGGAAAGAGGTGGTGAGGGACCAACAAGTTCTTTGGTAGTTTTGGATCTCTATTTTATTTGCTCATGTGTCTTAAGTATGATTATGTATATTCAGCGGTGGTGAAGATGTGGATAGTGGAAAATTTGGAGTTGGGTTTGTGAGTAACCAACAAAAATGATATTTTATTATATTTAATAATTGATTAATTGTATATTATTTATGATTTTTTTTTTAAGTTGGAAGCAAATTATTTCATTAACAGCCTGAAACATCTGATAAATGATGGCAATAAGTTAACAAATTTTTTTATCCTTGTCTACAGTCAAAGATTGCACCAAAGTAAATCTAATTAATAGACATAATACAACCAACCTCAATACCTATCAAAATTTGGAATATCAAAGTTCAATAAAAGGGTCAAGACCAATCTTCACTCCTAAACAATGGCATTGGCTGCACTAGCAATCCTTGGCCACAGGTCAGCGCACTCCTTCCCAATTGGACCAGTAATAGCAGACCCTTTCATTTCTCCCTTTGGATTCACAATGACACCAGCATTATCTTCAAAGTTTACGAAGACACCATCCTTTCGGCGCTAGGGCTTGTGCTCCCGGACAATAACAGCAGGCATGACCTTCTTACGGAGATCAGGCTTGCCTTTCTTCACTGTGGCCATCACCATATCACCAACAAAAGCCGAAGGTAACCGGTTCAATCGGCCCTTGATTCCCTTCACTGATATGATGTAGAGGTTCTTCGCTCGGGTTATCGGCACAGTTAACCGTCGCCGCCACCGACAGACCCAGCGACATGCGAAACTTGTTGCCCGCCGATCCTCCACATCCTTGCTTCGATATTTTCGTCTGCCGAGTGGAGCTGATTCAGTGTGTTAGATTCCTTAATTTCTAGTTTGATATTTTTCTAATTTTTTGATTTATTTTGCAAGTAATTTGATTGATTTAAAGTAATAATAAATAAGACAAGTAAAACAAACAATCGATGAAGAATCACAATTAATAAGGATTGAAGAGTAAAGATTAAGATATAAAGATTTGAAGATAAATGCAACAATTTAATACTAATGAGAGTCTAAATTAGTAATAAACTCATTTAGAGTTGAATTAAAAAAGTATTCTAGAAGATAAGGTTTTGACACATATTCAGTATTTCGGTCCTAAGTTTTTACTCCCGATATCCGATTTACTTGATTTTTATGGGTTTGGAATGAAGACTTCAAGGTTTATTTCAAAATTTTGTGAAAAGATCTCTAACTATGCAAAAATTGAACTCAAAGTCTAGGCAAATATGGTACCCGCGCCCCCAAAATTTGGTGCCCGAGATTTTACCTTAAAAGACTTATTTTTAGAAAGGAATTTCTCTCAAGTCAACTCTAGATCTCCTACCTATACTTAGGTTTTAGTACAAATAAAGGCTCTCAACTCAAGTCTCACCGGTTAAGAGAACATTCTTTTTCTAACCTTTTCCTTTCTAGATTTTAGTGTATTTTTATGATACCTTACTAAATTCTTAACTATAGGTTAGGGAGATACTTTTAATGAAGTATTGTATTATTTTTTATTCAATACTTTTTTTTAAAGCATAATCTATTTTTTAATTTAATTATTGTCTTTTTGTAAAGTTTTTACTCTGTATAATTTATTGATTCGTTGCACCACGTACATCGAATACTTTAGATTCCCTACAAGTCAAATAACTAGTTATTCCATTCTTGAATTAATTAACTAGAATTTTTCATAAAAATAGTTAATTGCTTGTTTGTTATAAAATTAGAGTTTACTTGTTGAAAAGCTTGATTTGTCTTAGACTCCGGGCACGGTGAATTTTTGTGATTTACAAGTAAATTCTTAGTTTTATTCAATTAAGTTATTTAATATATGTTAGATGTTTTCATATTATTACCGCCAAATATTTCAATTAAGATCACTCCTTAGTTAATTCTCAATTGAGTTTAAAAACTGAATCATTAATAATTGTTGTGTGAATTTAAAAGGATATCCCGATGCTTTAATATTTAAAATTTTTGTTTTTAACCAATCAATTTTTGTTCTTTCGAACAAACAAATTTCTCCAAACAATTTTCAAAGTACTTTTCTTTTATTTTTCTTGTGTTCTAAGTTTGCTCAATTCCATGAGGTTCGACCTCGAACTTCGAGTATTATATTATTTCGTGACAACCTGCACTTAGGTAATCAATTCTAAAGTTGTAGTAATCAGTCTTGATGTAATTGTTGGGTAATTGTTCTATTGGATTAACTTTTTGTTACGTGAATTGAATGTTGATGATCTTTTTGAAATTGATCCATGCCATATAGTGAAATGATCAAATTAGTTCACATTTCATATAGTGCTAATATTATTTGTTTAAGTTTAGATTAAATTGTTGATTATTTTGGTGTTTCGGGTTGAAGTGTGAGTATGGTGAAAATAACATTGAATTGGGAAAAAGTGAATTAAGTTTGGTTTCGAGTAATGAAAGTGGGTTAGTCACTACATTGGTATAGATTATTTCATACAAATTGAATGACATTGCATTTCAACATCTATGTTGCATAATGGAAACAATATTTTTATTCTTTGAGGATTGATTTTATTTTGCTTTACCTTTTAAGAATTGGAACTTTTCTTTCGTTTTAAAACTTAGCNGATAAGGTTTTGACACATATTCAGTATTTCGGTCCTAAGTTTTTACTCCCGATATCCAATTTACTTGATTTTTATGGGTTTGGAATGAAGACTTCAAGGTTTATTTCAAAATTTTGTGAAAAGATCTCTAACTATGAAAAAATTGAACTCAAAGTCTAGGCAAATATGGTACCCGCGCCCCCAAAATTTGGTGCCCGANATTTTTTTTTTTTGTTGGAAGTTGGTGATAGGTTTGAAAGAGGTATGCATGACAGTCTATGATTTGGTTATATAGTGTTTTTAGGCATGAGTAATTGTCAATTAATGTATATTTTTGAGAGTTACTAAATTTTTGTAACCGATGGGTTTTGTAATCTTACTTTTTTGATCAATGGAAACTATGATCAAACTTTAATTTTTTTACTAAATTATTGATGTCGCATCNTTTTCGTAACCGATGGGTTTTGTAATCTTACTTTTTTGATCAATGGAAACTATGATCAAACTTTAATTTTTTTACTAAATTATTGATGTCGCATCTAAGAACAGATAGTTTAACAAGTTAATCCCATTTGCATCGATGGTATTTCTTTGAAATTTATTGAAAGAGGTCAATTGCATTGGTAACCACTTTGCACAAATAATGCAAAAAATTACAAATGTATTCAATCCACACAGAACCCTTGATTAAAAGCCCCGAATTGGGTAATAACCCTTGATTAAACACACACATATTGATATGTGTATAAATTGTGCAATTATGTAAGTATGCTTATGTATTTATGTTTGCATTTATATATACTAGTGGGCGCTCCGTGCGATGNATGCTTATGTATTTATGTTTGCATTTATATATACTAGTGGGTGCTCCATGTGATATACAAAATTTGTCTCTACAACCATTACCCTATTTTAAGCCCTCATTTTAATGAAAAATTACTCATTGATGAATTACAGTAATATTTGTTGAATGTGAAAATAGTGAAGAAAGATTAGTAAAAATTTAAATTTGAAATAGTTTAAAAAGATAGTGGGAGCAATTATAAAAGATGGAGGGAGTAGTTACATAAACCAAATGGAATAATTTAATTCAAAGGGATTAATTAAATATTTAAAAAATTTAGAAATTAAGCATTTGGGGAGGGAAGACTTCTTAAGTTCTCTCACCTAAAAAACGTTTATTTTATGATATATAGAAAAACTATAAATTGTTCATGTTTAAAGACTCTATATAATCAAAAATGAAAAGAAAAATAATAGTCCAAGTCGCATCTAACTTGGTGTATATTGCAGTTTTATACCGCTCACATCAAAATAATTGTTGTAACTGACAAAATTTTAATAGCTGGTACGTACCAACTATTGTTTTTCAAATTTTTTATCAGAGTTTCATTTGAAAATATGATTCCTAAATAATATCAACCTATATGTATAACTTATATAATCATATCTTTAGGTAAATAAACATACCTTAAATCAATAATTTCATCACAGATGGTTAGTGGGTATATCATAAACACTATGTGGGAACCAGTGCATTGCACGGGCAAAGTATACTATGTTAACAAATTGTAAATTAATNATAAACACTATGTGGGAACCAGTGCATTGCACGGGCAAAGTGCAATTATAAAAATATTTACAGTTCAATTAGTATACTATGTTAACAAATTCGACAACATATATTAATTTAATCAATCATCAAATAATAAAACATTAACTTTTAAAGTCAAAGTTCAATATAACAATATGAAAATGTCAGATCTTATTATAATAGAATCATGAAATCCACATTAATAGAATTCGGATAAAAATTGCAACCGTGATCCCATATACAAAATTAAGTACCCAGATGCTATCAAAAAAAAATTAAAAATTACTATCGCAAACTCCAGCGAAATCCAAAAAGATTACGTACAGCCTGAAATAAAAATATTTTATTAGATGTTTTGTCATTCTCTAAAAACATATAAATTCTTCCACATTTGAATGATAAAGTAAAATAAAACTGAGAAAATATCTTTACCTGAAAGGTATTGCTCCATTTGTTTAGATGTTCGTCGTTTCTTAGTTAAACCTCCTCGACATCTAATGCTTGTGAGCAGATTATGTCTTTTTTTTATTTTTCTCTAACATCTTA